GGAATTCTTCTTGCAAAAAGTGTATCTGCAGAGCTCCTCTAAGTGTATCTGCAGAATAGAGGAGCTCTGCAGATACACTTTTTGCCGGCTTGGAATTCTTCTTATTTTCATCCTACTTCTTCTTCTCTTCATCCTCATCCTCTTCTTCTTCTTCTGAGGATGAGGATGAGGAGAAGAAGAAAGAAGAAGAAGAAGTAGGATGAAAATAAGAAGAATTCCAAGCCGGCAAAAAGTGTATCTGCAGAGCTCCGCTAAGTGTATCTGCAGAGCTCCGCTAATTTCTGACTCCGCTAAGTGTCATCTGCAGAGCTCAGCGGTTGAAACATTGTATCTATTTGTTTCCATTTATGGAAACAAATAGATACAATGTTTCAAGCTATTTCTGACAGTTCTCTGACATTCACTCCATACAGCGGTTGAGGAGTGAATGTCAGAGAACTGTCAGAAATAGCCTATTTCTGACAGTTCTCTGACATTCACTCCATACAGCGGTTGAAACATTGTATCTATTTGTTTCCATAAATGGAAACAAATAGATACAATGTTTCAACCGCTGTATGGAGTGAATGTCAGAGAACTGTCAGAAATAGCGGAGCTCCTGCGCTTATTTCTGACAGTTCTCTGACATTCACTCCATACAGCGGTTGAAACATTGTATCTATTTGTTTCCATTTATGGAAACAAATAGATACAATGTTTCAACCGCTGTATGGAGGAGGAGTGAATGTCAGAGAACTGTCAGAAATAGCCTATTTCTGACAGTTCTCTGACATTCAATACTCCATCAGCGGTTGAAACATTGTATCTATTTGTTTTCATTTATGGAAACAAATAGATACAATGTTTCAACCGCTGTATGGAGTGAATGTCAGAGAACTGTCAGAAATAGCGGAGCTCTGCAGATACACTTAGCGAGGAGCTCTGCAGATACACTTTTTGCCGGCTTGGAATTCTTCTTATTTTCATCCTACTTCTTCTTCTTCTTCTTCTTCTTCTTCTTCTTCATCCTCATCCTCATCCTCTTCTTCTTCTTTTGAGGATGAGGAAGAAGAAAGAAGAAGAAGAAGAAGTAGGATGAAAAAATAAGAAGAATTCCCAAGCCGGCAAAAAGTGTATCTGCAGAGCTCCTCTAAGTGTATCTGCAGAATAGAGGAGCTCTGCAGATACACTTTTGCCGGCTTGGAATTCTTCTTTTTCATCCTTCATCTTCTTCTTCTTCTTCTTCTTCTTCTCCTCATCCTCATCCTCTTCTTCTTCTGAGGATGAGGATGAAGAAGAAAGAAGAAGAAGTAGGATGAAAATAAGAAGAATTTCGGCAAGTGTATCTGCAAAAAGTGTATCTGCAGAGCTCCGCTAAGTGTATCTGCAGAGCTCCGCTAAGTGTATCTGCAGAGCTCCGCTAAGTGTATCTGCAGAGCTCCGCTAAAGAAATAGCGGAGCTCTGCAGATACACTTTTTGCCGGCTTGGAATTCTCCTTCTTCTCATCCTTCTTCTTCTTCTTCTTCTTCTTCTCATCTTCTTCTCATCCTTCTTCTCATCCTTCTCTTCTTCTCATCCTTCTTCTTCTTCTCATCCTTCTTCTTCTTCTCATCCTTCTCCTTCTTCTCATCCTTCTCTTCTTCTCATCCTTCTTCTTCTTCTTCTCATCCTTCTTCTTCTTCTCATCCTTCTCCTTTTCTCATCCTTCTTCTCATCCTTCTCCTTCTTCTCATCCTTCTTCTCATCCTTCTCCTTCTTCTCATCCTTCTCCTTCTCCTTCTTCTCATCCTTCTCCTTCTCCTTCTTCTTCATCCTTCTCCTTCTCCTTCTTCTCATCCTTCTCCTTCTTCTCATCCTTCTTCTCTTCTTCTCCTTCTCCTTCTTCTTCTTCTCATCCTTCTCCTTCTTCTCATCCTTCTCCTTCTTCTCATCCTTCTCCTTCTTCTCATCCTTCTCCTTCTTCTCATCCTTCTCCTTCTCCTTCTTCTCATCCTTCTCCTTCTCCTTCTCCTTCCTCATCTCCAAGGGCATTTAAATTAAAGGTACAGTGTTCTGCACTAATTTAAAGGCTCTCTGAAGCCTAGAAACCCTTTTTATAAGTTAAATTCGTAGCGAATAAATTTGCATCGAATCGAATTTCTTCCTCAAATTCGGCGAATCAGCCGAATCGAATTTTTGAATAATTCGCTCATCTCTAGTCCTAGTTGCTGACCAGGCCCTGATGTCCATCTTATACATACAACGCCCTGTTTGTATGTTTTTGTGGTAAGCGCAATCATTTACTGGATTTGTCCACAAGCCGGATTGGATTTTAACATTTATATATTTATATCTTCATCTACATGGAACTATTCATATTTTGACTGTTAATTTACTGTCTCATCCATCTTTACATTGGTGGTTGGTATACTATTTAGCGCTGCATACCATTTGTATATTTTGTTTTTTTTGGTGTTGAGGATTGCCTTGTGTGCTAGCTGCTGTCTTGTGATTTGCGCTCACTCACCCTGTTTTAGTTTTTTACAATTGTATATATATTTACAGTTGTCATATCTTGCCATTTTGCCTAAGAAGTTTGTCCTCCAAGCTGCTCAGTTCCATTGGGCATCCCATATAACCCAATACCCCATCCAAGTTGTTAACCCCTAATAAAACAACAAAAACCAAATTCATAGACTAGTTACTGACTTTGGATGAAAGTGTGGACAATGCGTATTGCCTGGCTGTGCTGAGTTTAGGATGACCCAAAAAATCAGTGGCCCTCAAGAGGGTAGCACTACAATTACACCAAAATGGCACCCATCTGCACACTTTGTAAAAAATGGCATTAGCTTAGTTTCCTACCAATGGGAGAACCCCCCGCATGTTTTGCCCCATAGGGGCTTAATCATAGAGGCTTTGCACTTTGCAATTGCAGTTGCACTCTGCCAGGAAATTTGCACCAGAGATTACTATATGAGGTGTTCTGCTGAATTCCATTATCCAATCATGTGCAAGCAAAAATTTTGTTTTTTTAATTTTCCTTGCATGTGATTGGGTATTCTTTGCAAAGTGAAGCGTCACCTCATTTGCTAAGTTCTAGAACAAAGACCTTGAAGAGTTTAATTGCACTTGCAAAGTGCACAGTCTGTTTGCCTTTAGTAAATCAGCCCCTTAGTTCTTTACTGCTGTTTAGGACTTTATTGAGGAGATTTCCTCTTACTTCTGGTTTGGTCAACAACAACAGGAAATCTCTCCAATGGAGAGAAAGTATAAAAAGTACTTCTTAGTAGTATGGGGCAAAACCTTTGTCAGTTTTTTAATGTTTGTGTCCTCCTGATACATATTCCATTCACGCCCCATGTGATTACCAGGGCAGAAAGCTAGGGAAATTATTTCACAAGTAGACACAGACATGAGGATCTCACATTTCCTCACTCTATTCAGAAAAAAAAAATAAGTTCTGGCTGGAGTTGGGCTCTAAAGTTTAGAGGTGCTAATAAAGGACAGTTTGTTTGCAATGTAAATATTAGACATTGTTTTTAAAACTTGTTGGGCCTCACTGAAGTAATCTTCATCCCAGGCACTCTTATGTCTTAACATGGCCCAGGTTAAGAGCCTAATGGAGAAAATGGTTGCAAAATATTGTCAAACCTCTGTAACAGTATCGGTAATCGGCCGAATAATCAGACCGACAGTAACTGTAACATGCAAATTACTAAACAGGTGCAATGAAACAATAAAGTAAAACAGGGTCAGAATGGCAAAAGGCATGCATACACTGCAAATAAAACCAAATTATGAAAGCAGTGTGCAGCACCCTCCTAATAGGCTGCTAGGAAAATGTAGTTTAGCTCCCCTGTAATCAAAGGCCAGGGGATTGATTGGTTAGGGTGGCTCAGTGTTTCACAGCCTGATGGTCTGTTACTTCCCCCTGTCTTCTAGAGGATCCAAGACATATAGTGGGAGGAAGGACACAACAAGCAGCCTGAATCAATATGGAACTTTAGCCAATCCCTGTGGAGGTGTGCAGAGAAGGTGGGGAGAGAGCCTATACATAGTGTAAGGCCTGAGCAGCAGAGGCAGTGTTCTTGGGTCCAGTTCTGCAGGAGGAGGTCATGTGGTGGGAGTAATAGAGCAGCCTGTGTGAAAACAACAAGGTTCCAGCTAGGTTTATCTGGGGGGGTTACTCACAAGTTCAAGTCCAGGGACCAAGTTGGACCCAGAGAAGATCACAGGAGATAGCCAGGAGGAAGTTGATGGGAAAGACTTGAGCTGTCCTATGGTGGTGTGAGTCTAAATCTCCCTCACTAGGAAGAGACTGGTAGATATTGTCAGGAGGCAATTGATGATCCTGTGAATAATTAAGTGATTCCCAGTGCTGAAAGAAAGTGACTGTGTGTAGCTTTTAAACTCTAGAAGGAGTACAGATCACTGTCAGTATAGAGATCCTATGGGACATTCAGCAGTTGTACAGTGCAGCCAGCAGTCTGTGAAGTGCAACCAGAAACCGAGGAGTCCTCAACTTATCCAGTTCTACAGGTTTCAGGGAATCTCATGCTCCCCATCCCTGTCCAAGTTCATTGTTCCCAATAAAAACCCTAAAAAGAACCCCTATACTGTTTCCTGAACCAGTGGAAGAGTGAAGAAAATGCAGTGTGCCTGGCTGTGTGTGTTCTACAAGGGAAATAGGACCGAATTCACAAGCATGAATGTACATGTACAAATATGGACTCTTCACAGCCATGTCTCTGTAGATCAATTGGGGTAACGTTGCTGCATAGCATATTCTCTATAATGCTATAAAGCAACAGAGAGTCTAGCTGAGAATCATTACTTTAGTAAAACAGTTTGGAACACAGTTAATTACACTGATCCTTATAAACAGCATCCTTCACAGTAGCTCTGGTAACATAGGTGAACAGCTTGACAGCTGGAGGGATTTCAAAGCAGAGGACATGAAGAAGGGGGCACCCCACTGGAACTAGAATACGCTGCTGGCAATTGTGGAGGTACTCCACCAGGGGTGGACTGACAACTCATGGGGCCCCAATAGGAAATCATGTGTCCTCGCCCACACTCAAACCACACCCAAAAAAGCCAGGGGTATGAAAGGTACCAGGGACATCTCATGGGGCCCCCTACTGACCCCGGGCCCTCAGGCAGTACCCGAGAGTCTAAATGGTCAGTCTACCCGTGTACTCCACACAGTAGCTGGGTCTTTTTGAGTAGCTGTGTGCTACTAGAATCTTGCCAGCTGCCCGTATGCTGGTTCAAATGATGGAGAGCTGCTCACCTAGCTGCAGATCCCTCACCCAGCTATCTGGCTGCTCTGAGCTTCTGAGGTAGGAAGTACAAGAGATTTATCATACTCAGGTATGTCCAAGAACTCATGTATGTGTAAGGAAAAAGGGTTAGAAGGACTTGCAGCTGCATCTGAGTATGCTGTATAAATGGCAATTCCTCTACATCTCTTCCTACTGGCCTTCCATATTTGACTATGAAAACATTACATCATATCATGTAAGACTATGAGCTCATTGAAATGCATCTTCATGCTCTTAATAACAATACCATATACTATATCAAGTATATATACTGTAATAAAAGATTGATGTGCCTTTATATGATCCATTGCTTTACACTTTCTTTGCGAGAGTACTCTGGTGAAGCAGGACATGCTGAGTAATGCCTGTTGATAAAGGAGTAAATAAAATAAATAAAAGGCCAGATCTGGAAGCAGAAGCAAGAGGGATGATGCATTCCACGGCAACCTCAAGTTAGTGATGTTATTACCATGTCATAAAATCATGATGGCCTGCACATTGGTGATGAAGGGTTCTGCTACACATGTTCTTTGTGCTTAAGTTGTATTATTTTCTTTTACTTCCAGTATACCATAAAGTAATTCATAAATGCACATATGGACATCATAAGTTGTGACAAAAATGTGTTGTCAGCAGCTGCAATATATTAATCTTTTGAATGCCTATACACTATACTGTTTCTCCCAAGACATAAGACATTACATTATCACCCCTGAGAAGATCTTACAACTGTACGACCTTTATTTCATAGGACACTAAGACCTCTTAACCCCAACTGCAAAGAACAATTATGTGCAGGTGCTAATAGCAGCCGTTGTGACAAACTGCTTTTAAATTTTGCCAAAACAACAAAACTTGATTTCTTATTGTTTGGAGTGAATTTCTGAACTATGCAAACTTACTTCACATAATATACTGCTCAAAAAAATTAAAGGAACACTTTGAAAACACATCAGATCTCAATGGGGAAAAATATGCTGGATATGTATATTGACATGGACCAGGTAATGAGTTAGGAAAGTAAGAATGCCCCATCGTTTGATGGAAATGAAAATTATCTACAGAGGACTGAATTCAACAACACCCAGAAAATCAAAGTGAAAAAATAATGCAGCAGGCTAGTCCATTTTGCTGAAATTTAATTGCAGAAACTCAAAATGGTACTCAGTAGTTTGTATGGCCCCGCGTGCTTGTATGCATGCATGGCAACATCGGGACATGCTCCTAATGAGATGACGTGTCCTGGGGTATTTCCTCCCAGATCTGGACCAGGGCATCACTGAGCTCCTGCACAGTCTGAGGTGCAACCTGGTGGCGTTGGATGGACCAAAACATGATATCCCAGAGGTGTTCTATTGGATTTAGGTCAGGCGAGTGTGGGGGCCATTCAATGGTATCAATTCCTTCATCCTTCAGGAACTGCCTGCATACTCGTGCCACATGAGGCCGGGCATTGTCGTGCACCAGGAGGAACCCAGGACCCAATGTACCAGCACAGGGTCTGACACTGGATCCTTGGACACTGGGTCCAAGGATTTCATCCCGATACCTAATGGCAGTCAGGATGCTATTGTCTAGCCTGTAGAGGTCTCCCTCCATGGATATGCCTCCCCAGACCATCATTCACCCACCACCAAAACAGTCATGCTGAACGATGTTACAGGTAGCATAACATTCCATGGTGCTGGGCAGTGAGCACAGGGACCACAAGAGGACGTCAGGCCCTCAGGCCACCCTCATGAAGTCTGTTTCTCATTGTTTGGTCAGAGATATTCACACCAGTGGCCTGCTAGAGGTAATTTTGTAGGGCTCTGGCAGTGTTCATCCTGTTCCTCCTTGCACAAAGGAGCAGATACCAGTCCTGCTGATGGGTTAAGGACCTTCTACGGCCCTGTCCAGCACTCCTACAGTAACTGCCTGTCTCCCCCTGGTCTTGAGACTTTGCTAGGAGACACAGCAAACCTTCTGACAATGGCACGTATTGATCCCTCGATGCCATACAGGAGGAATTGGACTGCCTGTGCAACCTCTTTAGGGTCCAGGTATCGCCACATGCTACCAGTATTGACAGTGACTCTAGCCAAATGCAAAACTAGTGAAAAACAGTCAGAAAAGATGAGCAGGGAAAAAATGTTAGTGGCCTCCACCTGTAATACCATTCCTGTTTTGGTGTAATCTCATTGTTGCCCATCTAGTGCACCTGTTGTTAATTTCATTAACGCCAAAGCAGCTGAATCTGATTAACAACCCCCTCTGCTACTTTACTGACCAGATCAATATCCCAGGAGTTTAATTGACTTGATGCTATACTCTGATTAAAAAGTGTTCCTTTAATTTTTTTGAGCAGTGTATATGAGTTACAGACATGTAAGGACAAAGTTTTGAGAGGGCATATGTACATAGTACTTTGAGGACATTAAATACTGAGGGATGAGGAAGAGAAAGACATGCTATGCATGGTAGATGGTTTCACCATTTAAGTGGTGCAACACGTAAATGGTGAAATGGAAGTAAGATCACTCCAACAGGTAGATACAGAAGGCAATTACTGCATAAAGAAAGCTTAAAGACCACCACATTTAAGTAAGAAACAGTAATAAGAACTTCAGGAAATTTTAGGAAGACTACGATAGAACAGGAAGAAGAGACATTAGCAGATCAACAGAATATGTTAAAGTGGAACTGTACTGCATCTGAGCACCACAAACCAAAAATGCTAAAATGCTATTTAAACACTTCCCGTTTGCCTAATAGCAGAAGTACTGCTACAGGGTGGCATGGGTGTGCAAAATCACATACATATCAGCTCCTGTGCACTGTTTTGCATGGCTGTCCATAGCAGAGCCATGCAAAGCAGTGTGCTTACAGTGAAGCACAATCACACAGCCCCACAGTAAAACACACACAGCACACAGTTAACCCTTTGATAGCCCCACATATTAACCCCTTCCTGCATTAGTACAGTGTCAGTACTTTTTATTAGCACTGATCATTGTATTGGTGTCACTGGGGATGTCAGTGACACCAAGTCAGTTCTCCCCAGACATGTAGCAGAACACATTTTGGCCTAAATTTATGATGAAATATGATTTTTTAAATTTTTTTACCAATGACACAGCAGATCACCGGTAAATGCAGTTGCCGGTTATCGGCTGCACTTTCCTCATGCTGTCACAGCATGAGGAAAGTACTGCCGATAACCAGCAATTGTCAGAGGATGGATCGGCACCGATCATCAGGGCACTGATGATCAGTGCCCTGATGATCAGTGCCCAGCAGTGCCACCCACCAGTGCCGCCCATCTGTACCCAGCAGTGCTGCGCACAAGTGCCCATCAGTGCCACCCACATGTGCCCAGCAGTGCCACCCATCAGTGCCTAGCAGTACCACCCATCAGTGCTTCCCAGCAGTGCCACCCATCAGTGTCCAGCAATGCCGCCAGTCAGTGCCCAGCAGTGCCGCCAGTCAGTGCCGTCAGTCTGTGCCACCTATCAGTGCCCATCATTGTTGCATATCAGTGCCAGCTCATCAGTGCCGCCTATCCTTGCAACCTATCAGTGCTGCCTATCAGTGCCACCTATCTGTGCGCATCATTGTTGCATATCAGTGCCAGCTCATCAGAGACGCCTATCAGTGCCACCTCATCAGTGCCACCTATCAGTGCCCATCAGTGCTGCCTACCATACCCATCAGTGCTGCCTATCAGTGCAGCCTCGTCAACGCACATCAGCGAAGGAGAAAAATTGTCTGTTTGCAATATTTTATAATTTAAATGTTTTTTTTTTTCAAACTTTTTGCTTTTTTTTGTTTATAGCGCAAAAAATAAAACGCCCAGTGGCGAGAACATACTACCAAAAGAAAGCTCTATTTGTGTGAAAAAAATGATACAAATTTCATATGGGTACAGTGTTGCATGACCGCACAATTGTCACTCAAAGTGTGACAGCACTGAAAGCTGAAAATTGGCCTGGGCAGGAAGGGGGTAGAAGTGCTCGGTAGGCAAGGAATGCATTAAGGTAAAAAATGTTTGGGCTTTATAACCATTTTAGGTGAGTTAAATAAACATTTTTTTTTTGCCTCTACTTATTGTTTTTCCACGTCCTTGTTGAGTGAGGCACTGGTGATGTAACTGTGACCTCAGAGCTGCATCCTAAAAGTTCCTGCCCCATGTTCCATGAGGCAAACGCAGAGCTCTAGGCAGAGGTCTTGGAAGTAATAGGAGGTGGACTAATCTGCTCCTTAGTATCGGTTTGCAGATTAACATTACTAAACATTTCTAAAGGTGCCTTAGTTGTATTTTTATGGTACAGGTGAAGTTCCTCATAGGCTTAGGCATAGTTACATTTTTAATCCACTTATGGTTTGGGTCCTATTCTCATTATTTTTCGAATTAACGCATCTATCCAAATCTCACTGGTAGTATGGGTGTTAAGATGGTTTGTGTAACGCAATGCAATTCTCGTTGCTGTTATGGATTCTGGAAATGAGTTATAAGAGGGTGTGAACACTTATGCAACCGCATAATTTTAGTTTTTTATTTTTACTTCCCTCAACCTAAAATATTTCAATTTGTTTTTCAATTGAGTTGTACAGTTTATAGGTCACATTAAGCCTGGGTTCACATATGTGCGGTGCGGTATATCGCATGTGATTCACACAGGAACTGCACCGCATTCCTGTGCAAATCACATGCGATTTGTATGCGGTGCGATTGGAGCCATACATTTTGTATGGCTCTATTCGCATCGCACCCGCACCAAAAATCTGCAGGACACTTTTTTGGGTCCACACTAGAATCGGATCGCATAGGTATTCATACCTATGCGATCCGATTCTGC